AAATTCATTTAGATCTTATTCACCAACAAAATATTAATATTCAGGTCCATATAATATCAATTGAAAATTGAACATGAAAATCGATAATAATAGATATATTAAAAAAAATCGATATTCGATAATAAAAATTCGACAGTTTTTCATAAAAATAAACTAGATCTCTACTTTCATACTAACACTGTGTCTTTTCACCTTCCATAGATTCCTTCCGAGATTCCTTCTAACGCGACGTCAAATGTCCCATGTTCATTTTTCTGGCTTTATTTCCAATTTGTTGATGGATTAGGTACTAGAATTTACCTGTGAGCGAGGGGGGTTTGGTTGGGTACCGAAATTTTTTTATCATGCTACCTCCATTTTGAGTCCTTAAAATTTGTGAGTAACAGTGTCGGAATAGGTGTCGAGAATACTTTAAAAATATAATACTATATGACAACACTTCTTGTTATAGGCTGTATTTATACCTATAACTCTCCAAATAGCAGTGCCTCCTTAATTTCCTCGATTTCATCGACCGTTAATACATTCAACCCAAGACAACGACATTTAACCCTCCAGTATACGCGCTCCATTTTCTTACGTGACTACACGCGTGGATTACATGAGTAATTCATACGTACTGGAGCTCTGGAAAAACAATATTATTTGAAAATAGTGCTATTGTTGTAATAAGATTTAATAATACCACTTCAATCTATAATTGGCTTTATTTTTTAAGTAAAATGTACATTAAATAAAAAAAAATAAAAAAAAACAATGAAAATTAAAAACAAATACTATAAATCAAAGTTATATATAACCAAACGTTACAAACCAAACTAGGTTCTATAAGATCCTAAATATTACATCTTAATCTGATTCAGACTGCATGTTCTGTTCTATCTCAGCTAATACTTGCATTAAATTTGCTGGGCAAGTCCACTGATCACGGCTGCTGCAACATTTTCTTTTGCTCTTATTTCTTAATTCTTAATTTCTTATTTTCTTAATTTCTTATTTCAAAAATCGTGCAAAAAAATGAATTAATTCCTGATATATTTAATAAATCAAAGAACACTGTGAGTGGCGAACGCCGAGAGTTTCGGGAAACATCATATTGTGCACAAAACTGGTCAACCAGATCCACACCGAATATTCTTTTTTTGTAATCCGTTAATATTTCGGGTTTATTCTTTTTAGACGTTATACATTCTTGCGGTAGCTCTCTCTTATTTTTACGAATTGTACATACAATAGTTAATCGCTTTTGAAGGAAGTCCATGGCAAAGGTATACTGGTAAACCAGTTATCCATGGTTACATTTCTGACCGTTCCTTCTATGGGTTTAACCATTCTTTTATCAACCTCTGCGCTACTCCAATTAAGTTTAAAAGGACCAGTTGGTTGTGTTTTACAGTCAAAATCCATATTATTGGCATATGCTTATTTTACATTTACTAACGCAAATATATTTATATCATATTTGGATGGTTTTCTGGGGAGGTATTGACGGAATCAGTCTTGTTCCGATTGTTGTTCAAACATGGTACATACTTATTCTAGAACATCATCAGATACATATTGTTCAACATTATAGTCATCTGAGCAGCTGTCGTCGTCAGTACCATCTATATTCAGCTCCTGTTCGTTCTCTATTTCATTATTCCATTCCATCAGCATTTTTTCAAAATTAGAGTCGCCGAATCTTACTTTTTTTTTGGTCGGGACATTGCTGATAACTAAAACAAAAATAAAAAATAAATATTTGTTACTCTTTTTCGCGCAGAAAACTTACCTGAATCGCCGAATACAAAATATAATTTTTAGTTTAGGGTTACGTAAGTAACCGCGTGGAATAAAATGGTAACAGAACACAATTTATTTTTACACCTACACACATAAAGTGACAGTCGCATACTACAACAGTTCCTTATAACACAGTTTAACGTTGTTCGGTGGTTTAACCACAAAGTTTCTTTTTTATACTATGCTTACACTAACGGTTCGTAGACTTACTACGGTTGCCTCTTCCGACTAAGCAATGAACATTAAGCCCGAAACTGTACTCTCGTGACGTAATTTGAATCGTAACATTGTTATGACGTTGTTAATCGGCGTTTTCATGTCTTTGATGTATAGAAAATAGTAAAGATAGTTATTAAATAAAGATGTTTAGTGGATTATAATACCTAATTATGGAAAACTGTTAATATGCAGGCAGTTTGGTACTTAAAATTAATCAGAATAAAGTTCTAGATTTACGTAAATCTAGGACTTCAATCTCCATTTTACACTGAAAATTTGTCGCAAATGCTGAACTATCAATACTGGATTAACTATTAAATTAATTACCGGCCCTTAGAGGTCAGCTAGGATTATCCGAGTTAAAATTACTTGTATAATTTAATGTAAGAATTTAAATAATATATATATATATATATATATATATATATAAATATATATATATAATATATATATATATATATATATATATATATATATATATATATATATATAATAAATTTTGATTGGTAAAAAACGTAACTAGTTTATTTTATTTCCAATAGATATAAATATACACTACATAATTATTTTTTTCATTTTTTAAAATATTTTTCTAATAAGTCTTTAATGATAGCTGTTTGTGTTTTCATTACTACTCTTTTATCTCTTCTTGCTGTAGGTTTACATTGTGTTTGTTTTTAAACATCTTGAGATTTTAAGTTTTTACTCGGAATTGCTATAAAATAATGATGATAATAAACAGAATTGATCAGATCAGATCAGAATGAAATTTTAAAGTTTTAACCTACCTTATAAAAAGATATTCTTATGTAAGGTACTCTACAATAGGTACGATCTACAACTATAATGCCTTTTAAATGATCTGATGATGCCTTTTCAATGCCTTTTAAATGATCTAACTCTTGCAAGTGAAGCTCGGGGTTTGAAAATAAATATCAAGAAGACAAAATCAATGATTATAAGTAGAAATGATTACCCCAACGCAAAGATATATGTCTCTGGAGAAGAAATCGAACAAGTCAGGCAATTCAAATACTTGGGATGTTTGCTGAATGAGGGTTGGGACACCGAGAATGAAATAAAGAGCAGAGTTGAACAAGCCAGAAATGCTTTTTTGAGGCTTCGTAAGTTTCTGACTGATCGCAAATTGGACTTCAACCTCCGATACAAGATGCTTAAGTGTTACGTGTGACCTGTTCTCCTGTACGGAATGGAAGCATGGACGTTAAAGGCCAGTTCTATTAACAAACTTGAAGTGTTTGAAATGTGGTGCCAGCGTCGAATGCTCAGAATATCATGGACGGGCAGGGTCAGAAATGAGGAAGTACTCAGAAGAGCGGGCTTACAGGATAGGGAACTTTTTAATTATGTAAAAAGTAAGAAGACTGCATACTTGGGGCACATTATACGAGGAGAACGATACACTTTTCAGCAACTGCTACTCGAAGGGAAGATAGAGGGTAGGAGAGATCTCTGACGTAAAAAAATGTCATGGCTGCGCAATATTCGACAATGGACAGGAATCCACAGCTATAAAATGCTTCGCAATGCTGCTAAAAATAGAATTATTTAATCCAGAATATTTAACATCTCACCTGACAAGACGATGTACGGTGGACGACTACGCAGAAATGCACGGCACCTTAAGAAGAAGAAGATAACTACAATAAATAACTTTTCTTCGTTAATTAAAAAGAAGTTTTTACAAAAAACAACACCAAATTTTCAAATACGAAAATAAAGTAAACTAAGATATTTAAGAAACGATAAATAATAAAGCAAATAATAACTGAAAGATAATTACCACGAACAAATTGTGATAATAAATGGGTTTTGTATTCTTGTGTACTCTGGTGACGTAACTCAAGCATCCCCACCCCAGTCGGAAGAGGCAACCGTAGTAAGTCTACGAACCGTGGCTTATAAAATGCGTTGCGTTGATGGGAAAAAGGAGATAGGCAACTTTATATACACTATAGTCCGAATAGCAATATTATAAAATTCAATGGATTACATATGTAATCCGCGCGTGTATTGGAGGATTAAATATTAAATGGTAAATTTTTATAATAAATATGAGTTATTTATATTATGTTTTAAGATAATTTGGGATTTTAATACCATAACAATGCCATAATAATATATGGTTGAAACCCTACTACACCATTTCCATTTTAAATTAGCTATGCATTTCCCTACATCTTCAAACGTTGTCTTTTTGCCGAATCTATGTTTTTTTGTTTTTCTGTTTCTCAACTTTATTCCTAACTGGTATGGGAGGAGATTCCCACAGGCAAAAGACCACTCGGACGTCCCAGAATGCGATGGAGAGATAACATCCAAGCAGATCTCCGGAAAATGAACATTCCATTTGACCCTAGGTTGATGGAAGACCGAACAAACTGGAAAAAAGTTGTACAGTCAGCCAAGACCCACCCAGGGTTGTAGCGCTACGTGATGATGATGATGAACTTTATTCCGAGTAGATGCGATATATTTTGGTATCTTTCAGTTTTTTATGCTAGTTTTTGTATGAGACCAAATTCCGGTAGTTTATGTCATTGTGTGAATACTTTTGATTTTTGTTGTTTATAAAGGTCCCTGCCAAACTGATTTTAACTTGCTGAATGCTCGTAATGAAGTAGCACCTTTCGTTTAATTTCACTTGGTTTGGCAACTATAGGGTGAGTTTTTAACATATTCATAAATATGCTGTGACTATATATTTTCTTTCTCAACTTATTTTTACCTGACATCTCTGTCGTTTACCATTCCTTTTATTTTCGATATGTTTATTTTTATTACTTTCTACATTGTCCTTTGCAAGCATTTCCCTTCTTTGGTTTATATTGTTTGATAGCAATATTATATTGAGCATTATGAGCAATATGAGTTTGAACATTTAAGGTTTGTCATACAGAGTATATTCGTATCACTCTTTTGTTATTTTGTACCGATGTCATTATTCTAAACTAATACAATTTTTACTTTTTTAGCTTTAATCCAAGCATGTACGAAAGATATACTGTATTTAGCGTGATCATAGGAGGATTCACCTACTGGACCTGTTTCAATTCTGTCAACCAAACTATGGTGCAAAGATATCTTTCACTTCCAACAGTAAAACAGTCAAAATTGTAAGTATACACAATTAATAACAAGTAGGTAACACAAGAAACAGAACATTTATAGACTTCTATAAAGCGTTTGATACTATCGAACTACCCGCACTTCTAAGGCATTGGAAGAGTGTCGAATTGATCATAGGTACACCATTATTATAGACAATATATACAGAAATGCTACAACTATAAATCAGCACGGTCTTACCAATAAGATACATATTATGAGAGGTATTCGACAGGGAGATACTATGTCGCCTAAGTTGTTCATTACTGTACTTGAACATGCTTTGAAGTTACTGAAATGGAAAAGTAAAGGAATAAATATTGATGGTGAGATGCTTAATCATCTACGATTCGCAGATGATATTGTTCTTATTTCAGATGACCTAAAGACTGCCAGTGAATGAACTCAGCGATGCAGCACGTAAAGTAGGTCTAAATATTAACTACCAAAAGACAAAAATGATGACTAATTTAGTTCCGAGCCATCCTTAAGGGTAGAAGACGTCGAAATTAAAATTGTTGACAGCTACATATACCTTGGACATACGGTCAAAATTAGCAGAGATAATCAAACTGCTCAACTGCTAAGAAGAATAACACTGGGATGGGCAGCATATTGAAGACTGTGTGATATTTTTAAAGGTGATATAACTATCAGCCTAAAAAGAAGAGCATTTAATCTGTGTGTCCTGCCTGTCCTTACATATGGCGTAGAGACACTTACCCTAACAAGGACATCTGCACGAAAACTACAAGTGACGCAACGTAGAATGGAGAGATCATTGTTACGCATAACGTTGCGAGATAGGGTAACAAACGAAGAAATTCTAGAAATGCTAGAATGAAGAATAATTAATAGGTGGACCAAAAAAATCTTGGAGTCGAGACCGAGAGCGGATAGACGAAAGACCACCCACAAGATGGACTGACGACATAAAGAGGATTTGTACCAACTGGATTACAGCAGCGCATGATAGATCTGAATGGAGGTTTTTCGAGGAGGCCTATGTTCAGCAGTAGACGACTATGGGCTGATGATGATGATGAACACAAGAAATAATATGAGCTTAACATGTTATTATTTTGAATTATATTTCCATTGTTTTTTATTCTAATTTATAATTTTAAGATATAAATTCTTGATTGATTTGATTTTGCTTCAGATCTGTTCTGTTGTTTACTATCGGTGTTTCTGGTTTCGTGTGGATGTGTTGCTATGCAGGAGTATTAGTTTTTGCCACCTATTTTTACTGTGATCCATTGTCAATGGGCAGAATCAAGGCTGATGATCAAATTCTTCCTTTATTTGTTATGGAAACCGTAGGACATTTAAAAGGAGTTCCAGGGTTATTTATTGCTGGAGTTTTTGGAGCAGCTCTTAGGTATGTATATATCTTTTCAGTAAACTTTATATTATCATCAATGTTTGACCAAAAGCTGGTAAATTTCGAGATGGCATTTCTCTACTATTATTTTTAATTTTTAGTTCGCTATCTGTGGTGCTAAACTCTACTGCACAAGTAGTTTTAGAAGATTTTATTAAAGGATGTATGCGTATGACGCTATCGGAAAGAACAGCCACGTTGTTCGTCAAGGGAGTTGTTTTAGTATTGGGAGTTGTAGCTGTAGCTTTTATGTACGTCGTTGAACATATGGGAGGAGTTTTAGCCGTAAGTATGTCAATTTAATTCGACCACTTAAATTACATATATATATATATATATATATATATATATATATATATATATATATATATATATACATACTTAAATTAAAAGTATTCAAAAGGTGGTTCTGCCGTAGAATTTACGTATACTATGTGTTATTACAAAGTGTTGCTAACAAAGAACAGGAAATAATACAAATGGTGAAAAAGAGAAAACTAAAATACTTTGGTCATATAATATAATATGGAATAGCATGTAGCATTACATATCTAATTTCACCAGATATGTAATGCTATTACTAATAATGGACGGAAAAAGGAGCAGGCTTTGAAATTTAGGGTTGGTTTAATATGAATTCCACTCAATTATTCAGGATAGCTGTGAATAAAATTAGAATCTTCATAATTATTTAGGAGAAGGAACTAGAGAAAATGAGAAAATGATATGAGAACGACAATCTAAAAACAAATACATGCTCATTCACAATTCAAACAATCTGTTTTTATTTTAAGATGGCATCTTCACTGTCAGCTATTGCTGCAGGGACGACTTGCGGAGTATTCACTCTAGGTATGCTGTTCCCATGGGCCAATTCCAAGGGAGCTGTAGCAGGAGCGATTGCAGGGTCAATTATGTCAGGGTTGGTATCTTATGGAGGACAGTACGTATCTGCTGCTAAAATGGTAGTTGCACATAGACTTCCTGTGGAAGTAAACGCTTCCTGTTTCGACAAATACGGTATCAGGAATACGACTGTCATGCCTGAGGTAAGTATTTTTTTTTAACTTCTTATATATTTAGTGTCATTTTTTTCATATTTCAAAAACTAGAATAATGATTTAAGTTGAAATAAACTAAGTACATAAAGAATCAATTTAAAAATTGTGTTGGAGGCCACGAGAGTAAAAGTCATATTTTGTGACTAATTTGTTCTTTCTTCTTCAATCTCTTCTTTCTTCTTCTTGTAGTGCCTATCCGTTTCGGATATTGGCGCCCATGATGGCAATCTGTATTTTGCAAACTACTGTTTTAAAAAGATTTGTGGTTGTTATGTTAACCCACGTCCGTAGATTTTTCAGCCAGGATATCCTTCGCCTTCCTGGTCCTCGTTTTCCTTCTACTTTTTCTTGTAGAATTAATTGTAGCAATCCATATCTTTCGCTGTTCCTCAGGATGTGACCGAGGTATTCGATTTTGGCTGTTTTTATTGTGGTTAACAACTCTTTTTCTTTTTGCGTTCTTAATAAAACTCCCTGGTTAGTAACGTGGTATCGGATATCTTCAAGATTCAGAGATAAAGCCACATTTCGAAAACGTCAATTTTCTTGCAAGTAACGTCTGTGAGTCCACGACTCCGTATAACAGTATAGGAAAGATATAACATCGTAGTAGACTGATTTTTATAGGTACTGATAAATCGTGGCATTTGAATAGCTTAGCCATTTTTTGAAATGCAGATCTTGCTGGTTTTAGATCAACAAAAATCAAAGAAAGGGACATTTTGATTTAAAAATGGTTAATCCAACATTTTTTATATTATCAATTTTAAATGTGCTGAACGCCCTCTGTGGCTCAGTGATAAGAGCGCCTACCTTTGAACCTAAAGGTCGTGAGTTCGAATCTCACCTGGGTGGAAATTTTCGTTTATTAAAAATTAATGAATGAAAATAATTTCTATCCTTGTGCGATCGGTACTCACCGGAGGGACCGCATACGTTCGGATACAATTAGCGTCTCTTAGCAAAGAAACACACACACTAGACTCCTGACTGTAAAAATTCACGTTGTCGACGCATTAAACTCAAAAAAAAGTGCTGTACAGATTTTTGAGAACGACTCTAAAACTGCGTTCATTTTTTATCTGGAAAGTATGGACCTTTGTTTTTTTTTTCATCGCGCTTCAATTATTGTACAGCTCTCAGTCGACTTGGGCTACAATTTTACTTAAACAAAACTTTAGACTTTCAGTTTGTAATTATTTTCCCTTTTTGATTTAGGAGCTGGATAACTGAATTTCTATTTTTTACTCCTTGTATAAATATGTTGGGTTTACTGTTACTTCATCGTCATTTGATTCGTAGTTTAGTACCTCAAAGGTATAATAAGTAGGCGAATTCAACCAGTAATTGTTAGTTTTTGTCTTTACACTTCTTTTATCTGGACTGGTTCGATGTCTGTTGTCGAATTTTCGATGAATTTCTAAGTTTCAATATAGTTTTGAGCATTTGAGGGGTTATAATAATGGTTGAGAATGTTGTGTGGTTAGTCTTGGGGACTGTAATTTCCTTGTTGAATCATATATTAATCACAAAATTACTTTTTCTTAATGTACAATACCCAAACCTGAGTGTAGGAACCCATCTGTATGTAATTGTGTTGTGCATCATTCAGTGGATACATATATGGGGAACCTACAGTATAACGTAGAATTCGATCGACTAAGTTTAGAGGAGCTGTACTAGACAGATTACAACACTGGTTTGTCAGGGGCTTTAAAGCAACAACCTAAGCGCTATCTGTGATTTTGGTAGCGACGATCGAAGCCACTTATTTTTTCCTCAAAGGCAAAGTACTCACCTCTGGGCAACCTAGGCCATAAAACACTAAATGATTAAAATAACGATCGGTTGATCGGCAATTAAAAATAATGTCAACAGTAATTTATTTTAATTATACTCTATATATTTTAGATACAATATCCAGATGAATCAGGAGTTTTTCCACTGTTCAGGCTAAGCTTCCTTTGGATAACACCCGTAGGAGTAGTTAGTGTACTGATTGTGGGGATTATTGTTAGTTTCTTAACAGGCGCCAGTGATTTAAACACCACCGATCCGGATGTCATTTCTCCTGTTGTACATTGGTTACTGCCCCAAGAATGTCGAAAGTTAGCAGGTAGTACTGTAAAGAAAGCAAGGAACCAGGAGTTGACTGAAAGTGACTTGATGGTGCAGGTTCAATCAGATGGCAGCCTCTTAGTAAGATATAATTAATATCTATATATTCTTAAGGTATACTCGTAGATTGTTATTAAACTTGAATAATTATATATTAATTTTAATTTTATAGAATTTAGCGGGCCTTGATACTTATAGTTTACTAATCAGTATATTAAGATTTAGTCTTTGTTCCATTACGAAAGCTGATATTTAACATGATAGAAAGTATAAGAGCGCATTCTTCTTCTTTAGGTACCGTTTTATCTAAGGAGGTTGGTAATCATCACAGCTATTTTCACTTTTGAGATTGCCGCTCTGAACAAGTCGATGGAACTGCAATTATACAACTTTCCCAGATTGTTGAGACAGGAGATGCGTATTTTTCCAATACTTCGTTTTCTCTGTATTTTTCCCTGCATTATGGTTTGTAGCAACACATATTTATCCCCTCTCATAACGTCGCCGAGATATTGTAACTTTCTTATCTTAATCGTATTCATGATTTCCATTTCCTTTTTCATCTATCTGAGGACCTCAACATTTGTTATTCGGTCTTAGCAACTTATTTTTAATATTCTTCGGTAGGTCCACATCTCGATTGCTTCAAGTCGATCGCTCACCTCTTTCTTTAAGGTCCAGGCCTTAACATAGGATTTAATTTCGGAATACGGGGCGGCCACGGCAAAACATTAACGCCAGCTTCTTGGAGAAACTCTATACTTTAACCAGCAATATGGGGACGCGCGTTGTCTTGCTGAAAAGGACGTCTCGATGGCCGTCGAGATAACGCAGTAAAGTGGTTTGTAAGATGTCATCAACATAACGCGCATCTGTCATATTGCCTCGAATAAACACAAGTTTTGATCGGCTACCATAGGCAATAGCCCTCCAAACCATTACTCAAACTGTCCTGTGTACATGCCTCTCACCAGCAAACTCGATATCTCGTCGTTTACAAGGTGGCGTCTTACCATCCTACGATCATCATCCACCTAAACAGAATCGTAATTCATCGATGAATGCTTCATTATGCCATTCTGACACCCAATGCTGCCATTCTCTGCACCAATTCAAACGTTGATGACAGTGGTCCGCAGTCAAAGGAAGCACTAGTCGTGGGCGGAATAAAACCAGTCCAATGGCTCGAATGCGATGGTCTAGTGTACGCATACTAACAGGTCTACCTACTACTCCAAACCATTGTTCAGCAGTTTGATGCGTAGTAGCAAAACGGTCTCTCAGAGCCAGTAATTTAAAGCATCTATCTTCACGCTCTGTGGTACGCCTCGGTTGACAAGTTCGTCATCTTGGTGTTCCTCTACCTTCGTTTGTCCACACATGACAGACACATAATCGTCATTGCCGTAAAATTAACACAACGGCCAATTTCGCGATACCACAAACCCATATCTCTATACGCAATAATTCTACCCCTGCTAAAATCGCTAATATATTGGTTATTTTGGTGTTTTCGAACTCGAGGCATTTTCTTACAATGAATACAAATAGACTGAGAAATAATAACTAAAAATTTCTATACAAACCGGTTATCACAAATCGGTCTCTTCACAAAAAAATTTAGAGATAAAACTTTGTTTTTACAAAAAGTAGCAAAGATAAAACATTGGTATTGTTATCATAGAATATTTTAAATATAGCCATTATGTTGCCAAAAAATTAAGTTCAAGAAATTATTCCTACTGGGTGTAACACTTCTAATGTCACTGAGTATATTTTTGTGCCTGACGCAGGCACAAATGTTGGCGACCTGGGAGGCCCCGCGGAAATTGTCATTTATAATAGCCATGATAATTGACAAGAGATATATATTTAAAGATCTTTAATATAGTGGTTTCTCGTTGCCTTCTACATCTTTCTGCCGTTGACCACTTCTTTGGTTCATTCGCATTTGGAGTCGATTTCTCAACTCCAGGACAAAAAAGTGCCCTATCACTTACCAACTGATCGGCCCGTAGCCGTTGGTCAGTAGGTAAGAGATTGCTTATACTGGCAATTACTCGGTCCCTATCTGCATTGGCGATCTATAGATAGATGTTGCTCATCTTCTACCACGTGGAGGTTGCAGATTTGGATTATTCTTTCATTGGGATCAAGACCTTTCGGCATTTCCTAATCCCTCCAGAGCTTTAGAAGAGCGCATTAAGTAAATATTTTTCTTATATCTTAGAAAACACAATCCCTTAGCTATGCCAAGGCTCCATAAGGGCTTATATATTAGACAGAGGTAGAGATCAAAATAAATTTTTGTTAAATCCACATGCTTCTAGTCGAGAATGAATAGGTGTTTTGTAAAAAATCTGTCAGAAGTTGTAAGTGCAGAAACGATACGTTTTTCAATTTTGATTTCTAAAATAAAATCCTAAATGTCTAAATAGTTTTATTTTTTCTATTTATTGTTTAATCAAAATAGTCTCATGATTGGAATTAATCGAATAGCTCAGGCGGTAGAGTTTCTGACTTTCACGAAGAAGGTCGGGGATTAATCCCGAGCGCCGGTGAAAACATCTCGATATTTTTAAAATATCTACAGACTCCAGGTAGATTCTCCGTAGATCCAGGTACGAGGTTAAAGCGTAGCTCTGGCCATGTTCCCTTCTTTGTATACCGAAGATCCAAGAAATAGCAGACTATCCGACTATAATTCCAAAGCCGCGCTAGATATAGAAAGGAAGGCTATTATTATTATTAGTCCCACGATTTCGGTGAAGATGGTTATTTCTTTCATTTTTGTCTTTCATTTTTTGCTTTGCTCGTTCTGGATATAAGTAATAAAACAACTTTTACACAAAATTCGACCTTATTTGTCAAGATAGGATTCTCATAACTGATGGACTGATCCCAAAGGTTTTCTAACATTTGATTACTGGAACATTAGCTTGGGAAGAATAGTCTTTAGTCGTTGAGAAGTAGATCTGAAGTGAGAACCAGATCATTTGTGATCGTTTTTTCGAATTAGTTTTTTCTAATGCATTATTAACGCTGTATAATATTCGTAATTGATGATTGTTCTTGTCTTAACCGATAAACAAAATATCTTGTGCCAAATTACATAAGCCAAAATCTAGCCAGCTAATATTTGTGTCCTTTTTGGTAATTTTGCATGGCATTTATCTATTTCTAATGAAAGCATATTACTTTTGGCATTGAAACAGTTAGAAACAATATTATTAATCGTAGAAATGTTGTTGATAAAGTTTTAGTACAAGAAATTTTAAATACAGCTTTTTTATTGACAAATGTTCATTCGGAATGGTATTAAATATCTCGTTCTCAAATTCTCGTTCTCGTTCTCGAGTCAAATTTTGGCGACCAAAACTAGATAGTTATATTGTTATATTGTTACAAATTGGTGTCCAACGTGGGGCGCCAATGTGTAACACTTGAACGACTTAGTTATCAGAAACTGTATACGCCATTGTGTATTAATATAACTTTTTCTGAAAGTTATTTATTGTACAAATCAAATTAAATTGAAGTTTTCATATTAAATAAAAACAAATCCTGTCTATAGCTTTACACAAAAATTATAAATTGATACTTATGGAACTATTTGCTTTATAAAGGTGACTGGATAACTTTTTAATGACTTCTAATGCTAGTTGGATGGATTATATAATGCATCTAGTGCAGTTGCTGGTTCCAGAGGCTTATCACTGCGCTGAGCTTTCGACATCATTTCTGATGTCTTTTTCGGGCTTTCGGTGTCTCAGTCTTCTGAGCCTCTAGACACTACTCTATTCATAGTAGTGCAGTCAATAAAGAAAATATTTATGTTGCACGTAAGTGAATGAGTAACTTCACAAATACCCGATTTGGCAGAATGTATTAGATTTTATACTGTTACATTTGCACAGACTTTGTCTAGCGCATAGATTTAACCATATTCCGCGTAAATTATTCACTTTCTAGCGAATCTACCAACTCGCTAAGTCGTTGAACTAACTTCTATGGCTCTCTCTTATTTTTATGTTTATTTCAAAAGATATACGATTGGATGTATTTCTGATCATCTAAATTTTTTAATTAACATTGTACCAATGGAAAATTTGCGTTTTACAGGTCCCCATGGAAATAAGATCTTGTTTGGCACAACCTCGTAATAGTAAGTTGAATTTATATGCACAGAACACACAATTTTCTTCTTTTAAAGAACACTTTTCAAATATAGTACCAAGATCATCATCAATGAATAGATAGTATAGAATTAAAGGTGTACGGAAGCATGCAGTCACCAAGATTAGTGAATTAAATGATCAGTGTGTTTAAGTTTTTAAAAATATGATACATTTTTAAATCGTGGGTCATTTTTCATTAGTATTGGGTTTATAGTTTTATATTTCTATTTTAATGAATATTGTATGTAACATAAGTAGCATGTATTTCATCAGCGAGAAATGTTAGGTCCAATTCGTTTTAACATCACTGTGGGGGTTTAACAAAATAATGTACTATTACGAATTAATAGTACTAAGATTAATACCAGCTATTCCTTCGATAGCTCTGGCAAGATAAATGAACTTTCACTCATAGGTGCAAATAACAAATAATATAAAATTTAAATGGTTGCAAAAACAATCAAAAACAAACAAAGGTATTAAACTAGGTGAACTTACCGAACCGCTAATTAGGTACCATAATTCACTACTATAAAACCAACCGATTTCAATGGGGATGCATCGATGCACTCGCGAGGGTTGTGTCTTGCGTCTATTCTGCTCAACGACTTAAGCGCTTGTGTCCTACGGGATGCATAGCATACCCGAACGGTACGAATAGGGATCGAAGGTAGACAGGGGGAGGACAAAATGTCTTGATTAATTTATACAACCATATTTGAATTTAAACATTCTCCCCCCTTTAAAGGCCATAAGGTCTTTAAAAAACAAAACGAATTCTAAATACTATCATTACTTAAACAATCAAAACGATAATTACTACAAACAATTCCTATACAAATATTAAACAAATATTCAAAACTTAAACTAAAAAATAAAAAAATTAAAATTAAAATGGTGGTTTTGTCGTGGTTCTATTCATAAAAGCCGAACAAAACAAAATCAGTAAAAAAAATGCTGACCATTTAATCTTCATCTATCGGCACGGGACAGATTCGGACAAGAGGCCGTTTTAAGGTTCCGGTAATCGTACGCACGGTAGCCACTCGAGCTACACCGTCTTTACCCTCATGTAATTCAACAAGACGCGCGAGAGGCCACTTACACGGAGCCAAATTATCCTCCTTTAAAACAACTAAGGTGCCGATTTTAGGTACAAAACTAGGATCTAACCATTTACACTTTTGTTGCAAGGTGTGCAAATATTCCTTTCGCCATCGAGCCCAAAAGTCTCTATGGATGCGCTGTAACAACTGCCATCTGGACAAACGATTGAAGGATACCTCCGAAAAATCAGGCACAGACAAAGATGTCAAGGGTTCAAGAGTCAGGAAATGTCCTGGGGTCAAAGCATTGAGATCTTCAACATCATTGGTTAATGGGGTGAGAGGGCGTGAATTTAAGACGGATTCAATTAACGTCAAAACGGTATAAAATTCTTCGTAAGTCAAAATTTGTGCCCCGACTATACGACCAATATGTTCCTTTACAGAACGAATTCCGCGTTCATAAATACCGCCAAAATGTGGAGCAGCAGGAGGAGCAAATGAAAACTTAATATTTTCCTTATCGAGAGCGCTCTCCATAAAGCTACTAAGCTGTCGATAAGCACTGTGGAAATTAGTGCCATTATCACAAAATACTTGCGATACTCGACCTCTCCGAGCGACAAAACGTTGTAAAGCGGCCAAAAAGGCTTCCGCGGTCAAATCACTAGCTAATTCCAGATGTAAAGCCTTTGTAGCGCAACATACAAATAAACACAAATAGGCCTTTTGAGTTCTAACTCCCCTGTAACGAGACATGGTTATCGAAAACGGTCCACCATAATCTAACCCACAAATCGAAAAGGGTTTAATGGCACCGAGACGAAATTTAGGCAAATTACCCATAGGGGGTTGTAAGTTTTTGGGAGATTGTTTCCAACATCTAATACATTTGGACAATACTGAATTAATGGCTTGTTTAGAAGACAGTATCCAAAACCTTTGACTAATCAAAAATTGAGTACTCTTAAATCCAGCATGTAAATACTTCTCATGATAATAACGAACTAGAAGAGTAGTAAGGCGAGATTTCTTTGGTAACAAAAACGGGTGTTTTGCTACATACGATAACGAAGACTGAGATAGACGACCACCTACTCTTAAACACTGAGTGCTATCATCCAAAAATACTCCCAACTTACGAAATGGTTTAGGAAAAGAGTTTGATTGAAGATGTTCTTCAAAATACTTTTCCTGTGTAAATCTGACAAGAATAATCAACGAGTCTTCTAATTCTACGAAAGTCAAGGGTCCTGACCGTTTCGACCTTTTATAACGAGAGTTGTGCGCGAATCGCAACATAAAAGCCAAAATTCTTTGGATCGAGGTAAAAGACGATTTATTTTTCAGTAAACAAGACAAAAAATGTTCCTCATGAGTAGAAACAAATACTAAAGATTTCTTTACCTCTTCCAAAGAGGATTTTTCCTGCAATGAGGGAGGAACCTCTGGAAACTTTAATGGAATGTTATACAAAAGCGAAGGACCTGTTAACCAGTCTAATTTCGATAGAAAAGCGGCCGGTAGCATGCCTCGCGAAGGCGCATCGGCTGCATTATTTCGAGATTCGATATAATGCCAAGAATAATTTTGACTATAGGACTGGATATACGAAATGCGATTTGCGACGAAAGTTTTGAATCTCGAGGGGGAACTTTTAATCCAGTGCAACACGATTTGAGAATCTAACCAAGCATACACATTTTGAAATATTATATGCTTCCACGACTCTAACACAAACGACATAAGTTTTACCAAATGAACAGCAGCTAACAATTCTAATCGAGGTATAGTAATCTGTTTTATAGGAGCTACTTTCGATTTGGCACACAGTAAATTGACTTGAACTAGGTTACGAGTATCAATACTACGAATGTAAACGACACAAGCATATCCCTTTTCACTAGCATCGGCAAATCCATGAAGCTCTAAGATGGGACATGAAGAAATATTCAAAAAACGAGGAATTTTGAATTGTGAAATAAGAGATAATTCGCTCTTATATTGTTCCCATACACGAATTATTTCCGAAGGAGGGCGATCATCCCATTTAAGACCGGTTGCCCAAAGTTGTTGGATTAAATGTTTAATGAAAAACGTAATAGGTGTTAGGTAACCACAAGGATCATAAATTCGAGCTAGTTCGGACAAAAACGATCTTTTGGTACAAGGGACGTCTTGCAATTTGACTGAAAATTGAAAGACGTCGGACTGTGCAATCCACTTCAAACCAAGGATTTTTAATGAAGGACCATTTGCTTCTGGATCAAAATTAATGGCATGAGGATTAATATGGGATTCAGGAAATTGCGACAACAATTTGGGTTCATTCGAACACCATTTCCGTAACTCAAAGCCTCCTAACTTTAACAAAGTAACTAATTCGTCAATTAAAGTTTGTGCTTCTTCGAGAGTCGAAGCACCAAAAACAAAATCATCAATATACGAAGCATGACGAATAAGCGAGACGGCTTTAGGAAAACGAGAGCCTTCGTCTAATGCTAATTGTTGAAGGGTTCTTAAAGCAAGATACGGCGAAGATACTATTCCAAAAGTAACAGTTAATAAACGATATTCCTGAATTTCCTCAAGGCTAGAAAATCTCCATAACACGCGTTGATAATCCGTGTGTTCAGGAGCGATTAAAATATTGCGATACATCTGACGAATGTCCGCACACAACGCAAAACGATTAAGTCTAAAATTTAACAAAAGCGAGACTATGTTCTGTTGTAGCTTAGGACCGACCAGTAAATATTCGTTCAAAGATTTGCCAAGACTGGGACTTTTCTGAGACGCATTATACACAACTCGAATTTTATTTGAAACACTATCTGGTTTCACAACGCAATGATGTGGAATGTAATACTTTCCCCTTTTCTTTTCGGCATTAGGGACTAACTGCATATGACCTAACTCAAGATACTCCTGCATATGAAAAGAATATTCTTTTTTCAAACTTGGTTGACGAGATAAACGACGTTCTAATGATAGCAGTCTATTTAAAGCAATATCATAGCTATCTTGCAAACAAGGCGGCGATTCACGAAAAGGCAAAGACACGACATATTTACCTGAGACGTCCCGATTATGTGTTTCCCGATAAATGTTTTCGCACAGAGCGTCTTCTGGTTCTGAAACTGGCTTTTCCGGTATGTTTTCCAGTTCCCAAAATTTCGATAATGAAGAATCTAATGGGTCTTCAATATTTGAAAGACAAACAAGCGAAGTCGACGAAAGATTAGGTGTGCTAGTAGGTCCTAACAAAATATATCCAAAAACGGTATTTAGGGCATCAGGTTGTCCCGCTTTACCTTCAATTTTACCTTCTAACAACACCTTCGAAAATATGCTACAACCAATTAACAAATCAATAGATTGACTACAGTTAAATTCGGGATCGGCTAACTTTAAATTTTTGATATAATTCCACGTCGATATGTCAATTTTGGTGCTCGGCAAATCCGAGCAAACCCGATCTGTAATAACAGCTTCCAAGTGAAACACCGGTGACTCCTGATGACGAGGTTGGATAGAAAAACTTATTTGACCTTGATTCAGCTTCGTTTGCATCGAATTGAGTCCGTTAACTTCAAACGAACAAGGAGTTTTAGGCCAACCTAATCTACTGGCAGCTTTTCGACTAATGAACGAACTCATTGAACCCGAATCTAAAAGACATCTCAAGGGCTGTTTACACCCCTTACTATCAATTGCATGAACCCAAACGGTACCGAGCAAGATTTCCTTTTTTGTTTCGTTTTTCCTCCCTACAAAACTAGCAGCACAATGTGATATTTCAGGCGAATTCTGTTCGACTCCCGATGCCCCTGGATTATTAGTATTTTCTGTGGACGACTGACTGTTGGAACGATTTCTATCGAAGTGCAGCAAACTATTATGAAGGTGACTATTACATTTACTACATTTAAAGGACTTTG